TATCAAAACTTTTGAACTTTTTGCACAGTAAAGTAAACACATGTAGCTTTTCACATTTATATATTTATTGTTTATAGTATGAATGAAGAACTAAACTAATCTGAAAGTAGCTAAAGATTATAATTTCAATGGCTATACTTATTTTAGGTAAATGTGCTGCAAAAGCTCTAAATATTTTAATTCCCATATTAATTCAATATAATAATTTAATTCATAATCATAATTCATAAAAATGAAAGCCACATTGAATTATTCTTTTTGGAGGGCCATTAATTTAAGCTCTAAGCCGTTACTGATCTTGCAACATTAAAAGCTTTTCGAATGGTGGATAAAGCGGAAAGCAAATCATTTACAACAGCCATGCTTGATAGCTAACGAGATTTTTTATATTTATTATTAATTTTACAAATTTTAATAATAAACTGTTTAGAAGGTGTTTGACTTCTACCCCACTGTGTCATGCCCAGCTGTAATAACATGTTCCCTTTCTATGGAATTTAAGCTTCAAAGAGAAAACTATGTTGATTTACTCGATCAAAATCTTAATTTAAAAGCTCAAATAGCCGAGCATTATAAACAACAAATTCTTTGCTCTAACTACATAATTATTAATCGTTGAAATCGAACTTAAAGTTCACTTTTAATTCAAAGTTTGTTAATGGAATAAAGGGATAGAAAATTAAAACTACTAAATTAAATTTGTTTTCCAATTATTCTTCATAAGTAGAATGAACTATTTCTCATCCATATACATTGCTATAATGTTACATTTTTTTTCCATTCCCAAATTACTGTGCCCCCTTTTAAGAGCGCAGATAAACTATTAAAACTATAGATAATTTTTGTGTGCTGCTGGGTCAAACGTTCGCCATAGCTCCCCCTCGAAAGCAACCAAAGAAAAAACAACTACTAATGTACAACAGACAAAACAATATGCAATTCGAAAGCTAATTTTAGTTCAAAACATTTTTCGATAGTGTTTTAGAAATTGCCGTCGGCGAAATGCAAATCACTTTAGGCAGACCACTTCAATGGTTTCTGAATACTTCAAAAACAAGCAAAGCGAAGTAAAGCGAATAAAAAAGGCAAAATGAAATGAATTGTGAAGCGAACAAATAGAACGCAACTTTTCCCCCCTTTTTACATTTTGTTGCTGTTTAAGCCGTTTAACATTTTAATATAAAAAGCAGAAGTGGCAGTGGCAGTAGCAGAGCACCGGCGAGGGCATTGTTGCAGTTTAAATTGATGTGCCACCATTAGGTGGGTCGGGGCTCGGGGTTCGGGGTCTGGGGCCCCCTAGAAGGCTGGCTGACATTGTGCAAGCACTTCAAAGAGTAGACACTGAGCTGAAGGCATAGGCAGACATCCTCTGCTGACAGGCAAGATCATAAGTGACACTCAAGATGTGGATGTGCCGGGGCTTTCGTGTTCGGATAGATAGTCATGATGGAAATATGCGATGAATGCGAGCTTTAACTGATGGTGTGACCAGTCGTCAGACGGTCATTGCCACTACCATTTCCATTAACCATTACCAGAGACAAGTACGAATATGCAGCTAACCAAATTGAGCAGCGTGTGGAACGCATTGGATGCGAGTCGTCTACTCGTATGGGTATGGGGAGCCCATTTCATGTCAGTGGCATCTTAAAATATGCATAAACGTCACGTTCAGAGGCGCCTCAAAGCGCTGAAATTTTATTGCCGCTTGCAAGGCAACTCAGTAGTCTGCGGTTTATGATTTAACAGGCAATATCGGTTATATTGATTGCTAATTATTTATCCATAATAAAAATTAACTTTTGGGAAAAGGAAAGTGCTTTAACATGTGCTCGAAAGTGATTAAGTTTTGATTAGAGTTTAATAAGTATTTAATATAAATTTTGGTCGCTTTCTTCGCAAATAGTTTCTTTAATATCAATTTATTTATTACAGATATGTACGTCCTTTCTCTGCAATTCTCATATCTATATCCTCTTTTTTAATGTTTTTTGATTAACTAATCAATTAAATTTCTATTTAAGCTTTGCTTCTGCAGTCAAGTCTATATTTTCTTCATAATTAATTATTTTTCAACGCATTCTGAGCGCTGCTCATATAATCTAGTAACGGACTTATATCGTACACCTTTATTGCTTTCATAAACGAAATGTTTAAACTATTTGTTCTACACACTTCTCATAGCAGGTGTTTAGGTCGTAATCATACAAATCCATCGTTAATCAATAAGTAATATTATTTTTTTGAGCGCTTTTCATATCAACTGCTGTCTTTATTAAACATTTTTGTTAATATACATAATTTTTGTGCCGTTTTTTTCGCTTCACAAATCAAATCATTACATCTGTATTTAATAAACTACAAGTATTTATACAACATTTTTTTAGCTTGAAATCATTAGCTATCATTATTCAATTCCATATTCTCGTGATTCTTACATCAGAAAATAATAAACCATTTCTTGAGCCGTTCTCTGCGCCTCTCATACTAACTACTTCAGCAACTTTCTCGTATCATATGGACACATTCCTTACTCGCACATAGCCATGTTTTACTGTACTCATGTGGTTTCACTGTTGTGTTTGCCTTCCATAACTGGACTGCTTGTTTTTACAATAAATTAGCGTGTTTTTGCCCATGTTTATACAAGTATAGACCAAATATGCCCAGCGCTGATTTGGCGTGCCTCTCGCATGCCGCTGTCTTTACTGACATTTTGGGAACGCCCAGCGAATACGAAAAAAATCGTCTTTCTTTCAGCAAGCCAAACAAAACGTTTAACTTTCGAGTGATTTGCATGCAAAGTTTAAAGCTTAAAGCAGCGATGCAGCTGGCGGGCCAATTGATTCGTTAATTTCTTTGCGTAATACCCATGCACTTGTCACCAGATCTCTGGGGGAAGCTCAGCTTGGGGCCTTTTAATTACGCAAGCGCTACCAGTAATTTTCATGCCTTGCTTCGGAATTGTATAGAGGGGCCTGCGTGTGTGTGTGCTGACCATCAGGAAAATGATTTCCCATGCTCGACCGCCTACTGAGTGCAATGACATTCTCACTACCGGCACCGACTCTGCCGCAATGCGTGCCTCCATTTTGTTGGCCAGATAAGCCACAAGGTTGTGTGCAGTGAGTTTCATTGAATTTGTCTGGCTGGTTGGTGATTTCGATTTTGGTCTCTCCTATTGTTGTGGGAGTGGGCGCACAGTTTTGCCGATTTGTGTGGTGGAAAAAGAATACAGATATAGATGGAAACAGAACTTTTGCTGCTCAACAATAAGTTACCACGAAAGTTTTGTTAAAGTTTCATTTACAAAAGGTATTTAAACTTTGCTGGCATTTTTGTCTATACCTGTTTGCGCGATAGATAGGAGAGGCGTTTACAGTAGTAGTCTGCAAATTAAATCCATGAATATTTAGTCGCGTAGAGCAAAGAAAATTGTGGAAAATGTGAATGGGTTGAAGCATTATTTTAAGGAGATTTAAAAAGGCAATAATTAATGTGTGGATATGTAAATAAATTGGCCGTGGCTAGTAATGCTTCGAATGTCCAGTTTAGTCTTTGTTTGTATGATATTCACATCCAACAAGTTCTCACCTCTTCTACAGACAGTTTTCTTTTAAATAGACCTAATATTGCAGAGCTGAGCTATATTTGAATTCCCTGCACTATTAAAGTATTGCCTTTGCGCGTGTCATTAAGTTTGTCATATGTTAAAACGTCCTTAACTTTGCCTGGCCAGGTAATACATAGCTATTTGTAGAATTTTAGGCTTTTCTCAATTAGTTATTCAATTTCAATATGCATTGAAAGCCCAGAGCTGCAAACTTCCGCGCCCCCTTGGGAAGGGCTGGTGGCAGAACTTTTTGAGTTCCTTAACTAATTTCAAATAAAAGTTTAGCTGAGGGCTTCCCCAAATTAGTTGAGCTCTGAGCCCCTCCTTTTGGCAGGCAGCTGCCATTTCCCCCAGCTAAACTAAAACTTGAACTCGATTAAGAAATGCGCATATTTTTAGTAAAAACGAGCTGCGTAGCTAATTTCTTAAAGCGGCTAAAAAGCGCTGACCTATTTTTATACCCTGTAACCAAAGGGGGGGAAAGGGTATGCCAGTTAAAGTTGAGACCTTGGGCAATCCTTTCTGTGATGGCATAGTTCCATGCGTCGCCTTGCTATGACATTTCCTGAAACACTGCTACGCAATACGCCCAAGACCAAGAACACTCCAATTACGGCGAATCATAAAGAACAGAATGACAACATTGCGGAAATGGCGCTTTCACCTTTTGCGAAGCGGATGACCCTCTCCAAAAGGGTTTGTCGGTCGCACCTCAATGTTGTCACTGCTCTCAGCGGGTGTGAGAAAATGTTCACGCACGAGCATATGTGTGTGTGTGGGTGTGTGTGTGTGCTTGTGAGTGATTTCGAATGGGCGCAACATCAGCATTTTACGATATCAAACATCAAAATCTCAATACGAGTGCTGCGCACGCAAAACACTTCCAAGTTATTGCAAAATGCCAAATCAAAATGTTTTACATCAAGCAACAGCTAGGCAGGCGGTTCGGGGAATTGTTTGGTTTATGCCAACGACTGAGGCCCACGCTAACGACATAGATATAACATTTTAATACAAAACAACACCCGTCCCACCTAGCCACCTCCCCAGCTCGCTGCTCTTGTCTTGTCTTGTCTTGCTTTGTCTTCTGGGCTGTAATGCGGTCAAGGTCTGTGTAGAGCTAAAGAATTTTTCATTGTAAAGAGGGAGATGCACTAAAAATACAAACAAAACAAAACACATACAAAGTAGCCATAAATTTATGGCGTGCGTAAATTCGATAAATCTTTGAAACGAGTGCGTGCCGAAGATAGCCGTAGCGTCTGGCTATTAATAGATAGATGCCGCATATACAGAGTTCAAGGAAGGGAGAGTTTTGCTTTTACAAGTGCTACGCATAAATTAGACAACCAACTTAAATCCACTCTATCGCACCTTTCTTTTGCAGAACAAACCGTTCATTGTGGAGCCGATAGACTTTGAAGCCTTCATAGCCAAAAATAAAACGGTCATCCAAAATGATCCACAGCGTGAGCTGCTCATCTATCCCGCAGATGATGTCTCGGTAAGTGCTTAACTGAAGATACACAAAAAGAAAACAGTTGACCATACTTGAAGAAGCGATTGTTTAAAATGCTGCCAAAATATGTAATGAGATATTATATACATTTTAATATTTGCTTAATCTTTCTCGACATAATTTTTAACTGAACTGAAGATACACAAAAAGAAACTAGTTGACCATACTTGAAGAAGCGATTGTTTAAAATGCTGCCAAAATATGTAATGAGATATTATATACATTTTAATATTTGCTTAATCTTTCTCGACATAATTTTTAACTGAACTGAAGATACACAAAAAGAAACTAGTTGACCATACTTGAAAAACGATTATTTAAAATTCTTCCAAAATGTGTAATGAAATATTATATACTTTTTAATATTTATTTAATCTTTCTCGACATAATTTTTAACTGAACTAAAGATACACAAAAAGAAAACAGTTGACCATACTTGAAGAAGCGATTGTTTAAAATGCTGCCAAAATATGTAATGAGATATTTTATACATTTTAATATTTGCTTAATCTTTCTCGACATAATTTTTAACTGAACTGAAGATACACAAAAAGAAACTAGTTGACCATACTTGAAAAACGATTATTTAAAATTCTTCCAAAATGTGTAATGAAATATTATATACTTTTTAATATTTATTTAATCTTTCTCGACATAATTTTTAACTGAACTAAAGATACACAAAAAGAAAACAGTTGACCATACTTGAAGAAGCGATTGTTTAAAATGCTGCCAAAATATGTAATGAGATATTTTATACATTTTAATATTTGCTTAATCTTTCTCGACATAATTTTTAACTGAACTGAAGATACACAAAAAGAAACTAGTTGACCATACTTGAAAAACGATTGTTTAAAATTCTTCCAAAATATGTAATGAAATATTATATACTTTTTAATATTTATTTAATCTTTCTCGACATAATTTTTAACTGAACTGAAGATACACAAAAAGAAACTAGTTGACCATACGTGAAGGAACGATTGTTTGAAATGCTGCCAAAATATGTAATGAGATATTATATACTTTTTAATATTTGTTTAATCTTTGTCGACTTAATTTTTGTTTAAAAGCAATCCATAGACTTATTAATATCAAAGAAAGAGAAATTTGCACAAAACAAAGTATATTTGTCCACAAATTAAGTACCAGAAGACTATGAAAATCTGTCTCTTTAAAAACAACAAAACCATTGAGTGCTGAATGTTAAATAAATATGATCAAACAATCTTAATTTATATTTTTTAAGACCCCTGATCAAATCATTGTTCGAAAGCTATAGATTCAAATATTTGTCGGCTCTTTCTATAATTTGTTCTTTATTATATTATCTCAACAGGAAATAGTCATGCCGCGAAAACTGCGCACTAATGTGAAGTCTGTGGCCGATCGCTTTGAGCCGCCTAATGAGGCCATCGTATGCCCTTTACACGGCAACTCGGTCCTTGGGAATGGTCACAGCCACAACGGAAGTCATAACAATGTGAGTCGGCAGAACAGTCTACAGTCCAATGGCAGCTTACACAATGGCAGCAACAGCACCACAAGTCTGGCCAATGGTCATGGTCAGCTCTCACGCAAAAGTTCCCAGAGCTCCAATGCGTCGAGTCAAAAGTTGTCGGCTTTCAAGTCCCCGACTAGTTCTCATGAATCTTACGAGTCAGCGGTTTCATCTACCACATTGCGTTCAAATTTGGCGCAGCCCGAGATCGATGATTTTGCAGATGATATGGTGGCTACAGCCGATGTAAGCAATGGGGATGCGACGCCAGTGCTTGGATCTCGTGCCGAGTGCACGCGTTTCACGCGGCAGGCCCTCTACACATATCGCGCGAAGAATCATCTGATACACTACAAGTACAACGCATATGGCGGCACCTGCCATGATCTACCCAGGTGGGTTGAATTATTCAAATAAATAGAATGCAGCTTTTAATTAAGTGTTTTTATGGTTAATTGTACAGCATAACACCAGCCGAGGAACTGCTGGAAGAAGTGTATGAGATCGATGCCGATCAGGATCGCATAGATGAGCAAATGACACGCTCACAAGCCGATAGTATAACCAAGCAAGGTTATTTACTGAAGGGGCCCGACTCCGGCTCAGATCGCATGTTTGCCAACATTGGCAGTAAGTCCTTTAAACGACGCTATTGCTATTTGCGTCAGGAAATCGACGGCACCTACATTTTGGAGCTGCACAAAGATCAGAAGCAGGGTGAGGCTAAGGCCACCATAGTCATGGATTTTTGCACAGAGGTCGTACAGGTTAGTATTAAAAGGGTGTCTAATTTCTCAGCTCACGTTTCTAACATTTGATTCCGTAGAATCCGAAGCGCTGTCGCTTTTGTTTTGAACTACGCATGACTGCCGGCCATAAATCGTTTACACTAGCTGCTGAGAATGAGGAGGACTTTAAGGACTGGTTAAGTAAACTATCCTCAGTGCTGGCACAGAACAAACTGCAGGAGGAAAAGCGTAATGCATCGCTGGAGCGTCAACCTTCAGCCACACCACAACAACTGCAACCGCCAGCCACAGAACCGTCTGTGTTTGGTACACTAAAGGGTCTGGATCAGTCATTGCATCCCCAATTGATGAAATATGGCCGTGAAACGGATATTTCGATCGCGCAGGCGCGACGCGAGAATCGACGTCATCTATTCGCCTGCCTATCAAACACAAAGACCGCATCCAGCGACAATGTGGATCAGTATCGGGAACATTTTGGCACACGTCTTCTGGTCATTTGTAAGAGTCTGACATTTCGATTGCAGTGCCTGCCGCCTGATGCGGCCGATGCGGCAGCTGGCGAGCAACTTTGCCAGGTAGAACCCTATATCACAAGTTTGGCTCTGTACGATGCCAAGGCAGGACGCAAGCTGAGCGAGTCTTTCTACTTCAATATCAATGAGGCCAGCGCTGCACAATTGCTGCCCAATACACCAGTGCCTGCATCGGTGGCGGGCTGTGGTGTACCGAGACGTGCGGAGGGCGATGAGCGTACTCGGAGCTCAGCACAAGCGCCGCACTCTCTCTTCGATGGCGTCTCTGCGGAACTGTTGCGCTGCCCCAAACAATACTTCCAGCAACTGCGACAATGTCTCTTCTCCGTGAACTCACCACATGCCGACATCTATTTAGTGCTTAAGATTGAGAAGGTCCTGCAAAGCAGTGTGGCGCAGGTCGCCGAACCTTACATAAAAGCCGCCCGCGATCCCAAACTAGGACAGAAGGTTTACAAGGCAGCACGCAGTTGTGCCCAGCACATTGGACATTATCGGCAACCATTTGCTTGGGCCGCTAAGCCGCTCTTTCAACCCTATTGCCACAAACTGGATGTGGATTCGGATCAGGAATTCGAATTCAGCACTATTTATCGGCAAGAGGTGCCGAAACTTAAGGATGAGGAGCTGCTAAAGTTACTCACAGAGTTCCGTAAGCCGGAAAAATTAAGCAAGCTTACAGTCATACCAGGCTACATGAAACTACAGCTGGTACAGGTGGAGAAGGTGGCGAACGCGTTGAGTAAGTCGCTGACACCGCTGCCCAACTTTAATTCCACTGCGAAATCGCCAATTACGGTGGAGATAGCCGAGTTTCAAAGTCAATGCGAGCGTGATGCGCATCCGTATACAAACTTTTGCAATCACATGTATGTCTATCCGCTAAGTCTGCAATTTGATAGTCAAAAACTCTTCTCGAGAGCCCGCAACATTACCGTTGTCGTGGAACTTCGTGATGGTGACGATGAGTACAGTAAACCTCTAAAGGTAATGGTGAAGAGCAATTCACTTCAGATTGAAATTGATCAATGATAACTTAAATGTTAATTGCAGTGCATCTATGGTCGCCCGGGTCAGGACTTGCTAGTCTCACAAATCGCCTGTCCGGTGCTTCATCATAATGTAACGCCGACATGGTATGAGGAAATAAAGCTTCGTCTACCCCTTGGTCTCTTTCCGGAACACCATCTACTTTTTTCATTCTATCACGTCTCTTGCAATCTGAGTAAGAAGCGTGAAGCGAATGCGGCTTTTGAAACACCCATTGGCTATGCATGGCTACCATTGCTGCAAAAGAATCGTATTTGCCTGGACGAGCAGCAGTTACCAGTGGCTGCGAGCCTGCCAGTGGGTTATCTCTCTATACAGCCCTTGGGCTGGGGCAAAGGGGTAAGTTGTCAGCTGTTGAGCTTGCTCTGGTCATCAAAATTTAACACAAACTCATGCGTGATGTCCCCCCGCACCCCACACAAATCGAAACGCTTTCCTGCGGCTTGCCACCTAACCTGCTGTTTTTTTTTTCTATTCCCTTACTTTTTCTTTATTGTTATGCACATTTTCGTCATGCATGCCACATCCATACCCATACCCATGCCCCGTCTGCCTATGCCGCCCTATACCACTCTGGCACCGCGTTTCGTTGGCTACAAACCGTTCCAATTTCTTAGCAGAATTGCGGTCCCGACGTCCAGTGGATTGACAATCAGCGTCTGCTGTTTAGCGTCGGCCTTCGTTTGGACTCGACGGTGCTTACCGCTGATCAACACCTCCATAACTTCTTTGCCCACTGCGAGCGTTTGCTAGAAGGAGGGAAAACTACCGCCCTGCCTGCCGAATCGGAGACATGCAAGATACTCAAGGCTACGCATGCCATCGATATGAGGTCGCTGATCAATTATCTGCCCACTCTGCTAAATGAGCTCTTCACGTTGCTGGTGCACACGCAATCGGAAGAGATTGGTCTGAATGTATTGCGTCTGCTGACGAACATAATACACCTGATTAGTGAGGAGGCTAAGCGCACGGAACTATTGAATTCCTACGTTAAGTATGTCTTCCATGCACCCTACTACAGTCAGCAAACCGCCCGGACTGTGCATGGAGAGCTGTGCCGCCATCTTCCCTACTTGCTCAATCCGAATAACACGGACTTCCTTATCGTCAACAAATTTATGAGATACTCCAGCATTTTCTTCGATTTGATTGTGAAGAGCATGGCACAGCACTTGCTCTCGACTGGACGAATACGGATGTTGCGCAACGAACGTTTTCCCAAAGAGTTTCCGGAACGTGTGGAGAATCTCATTAAAGTTCTATTGCCCTACATTCTGACACGCTACGAGGATTTGGGGGAAGAGACGCAACAACTGAACAGCTCCCTGGCTCGTTTTGTGCGTCAGTGTCTTAGCTACATGGATCGTGGCTTTGTCTTCAAAATAATTCGATTCTACATGGAACAGTTTAGCCCCGGAAATCCACGCGTACTGCAGGAATACAAGTTTAACTTCATTCAGGAGATCTGCCAACATGAACATTATGTGCCACTCAACCTACCCTTTGTGCTAAACCCCAAAAATCGTCCGCCTGAGATGATGCAGCACTTTTCGCTATCGGAGGAGTTTTGCCGTCAGCATTTTCTCTCCGGCCTACTACTGCAGGAGCTGAAGAGCAGCCTTAACGAGGTCACCTATGTGCGTCGTCATGCGCTCAACATTTTTAAGAACCTGCTGGCCAAACATGAGCTCGATGGCCGCTACCAGCAACGGGGCCAACTTGCACGTATTGCTTTGCTATATGTGCCTTGGCTGGGTATTGTCATGGATAATTTGCACCGCATTGATGATCAGTCGGAGGCAGGTACACCCAATGGCCACGTTTATGCAGATTCTGCATCGTACACGAAGCGATTGTCCTGTGCCAGCAGCTATGTATTTAGCAAGGACTCCACCTTCGGCTCAGTCACGTCTACACCGCGGTCGAAAAATCGCATGACCCTGCACATCGACCATCCTAGTCCATATCGCACCTCTCTGCACATTAAGGAGAACAACTATCTGGCTGCCATTGCCGGGCAAGCAATCAGCAATGGTGTCTCAAATTTGTCACTTAACTCCAACTCGGATTCTGGCGTAAGTATTTATTCTCCAATTTAATTGCTGACTTACCCGATGATAACTTCTATTGCAGCACTCCCAGGACACCACAACCATAGGTGCTTATACGAACGGTGAGACAGATGTTGCTTTGCGAAATGGACACAACCGGTCTGTGAGCGTTACAAATGCTCATATTCTAGCGCGCTGTGATAAGTTTAGTGCCACAGAAAGCAAGGATTTGCTGCTAGGTTTCCTCTTCATAGTCAAGCATTTGTCACAGGACCAAATGGTGGGCTGGTGGCAGAATTGCAATGAAACGGAGACGCTTCAGTTTCTGGCCATACTGGATCTCTGTCTGCTACAGTTTCGCTATGTTGGCAAAAAGAATGTGGTGCTCACACCCGATGTAGGCAGCACACGCAAAGCACATACCCTGCCCGCGCGTACCACACTGGACAACGGAAATGGCGCCCATGAGCCAACGACTGGTGGAACTGGTACCCTGACTCTTACACAAACACGTGAGAGCCTTTTGGAGGACTCGACACGTACACAAGTGGCTCTCTACGAATCAAATCTGGCCACCGAGGTCGGCATGGTCATCTTGGATTGTCTGGGACTCTTTGTCATGCAATTCCGTCAACTTCTCGCCGATAGCTTGGTGTTGCCGAAGCTGGCACGGGTTTATCTTCGATTCCTGCAGCTGGGTCAATCCGAGCGTCTATCAAAGCACGTCTTTGCCGCGCTGCGGGCGTTCATAAACAATTATTCCACAGCGCTGTTTAAAGGCAATGCCATGCTCTGCGGTCAAATGGTGTACGAGTTGCTGAAAGCCTGCGACAGTCGCCTGGTGGAAATACGCCACGAGTCCTGTGCCGTGCTATATCTGCTCATGCGCAGCAACTTTGAATTCAGTGGCCGCAAAGGTCTAACTCGAGTGCATCTGCAGGTCATCATCTCCGTTTCGCAAATGATTGGCAATGTTATTGGGCTGAATAATGCACGCTTCCAGGAGAGTCTCTCCATTATTAACAGCTATGCTAACAGCGATAAGGTCATGAAAGGCACGGGCTTCCCAATGGAGGTCAAGGACCTAACGCGACGTGTGCGCACAGTATTAATGGCCACGGCTCAAATGCAGGCACATCACATGGATCCGGAGCGACTGCTGGAGCTGCAATACTCACTGGCCAACTCGTATGCCTCAACTCCAGAGCTGCGTCACACCTGGCTGGTCACAATGGCACGCAACCATGAACAGAACGGCAACCTATCCGAAGCTGCTTGCTGCCACTTGCACATTGCAGCACTTATGTGTGAATACTTGAGGCTCCGAGGCGGCTGCAGTCTAAGTTGGAGCTCCACAGCCTTTGGCAAGATTTCGCGTAACATTCCAGTAGATGAGCAGGGTCTGAAGCTAGATGCTGGAGCACAGGACTCGCAGTACACGGAGCTAATGCTTTTAGAGCAACTGAAGCAATGTGCCGACTTTCTAGATCGGGCCGAGCGCTTCGAGTGCTTGGGAGACCTGTATAAGCTAATCCTGCCTATCTACGAGCGAGGACGCAACTTCATTGAACTGGCACATTCCTATGAACATCTCACACAGGCCTATAATAAGATTGTAGAAGTGAATCGTTCTGGCAAGCGCATGCTGGGCCGCTTCTATCGAGTGGTTTTCTATGGCATGGTAAGACTAATCCCTTTACTATAACAAATCATTAGCAAATCTAACTTCTTTTTCTATGTCTGCAGTCGTACTTTGAAGAGGACCATGCCATTGAGTATGTATACAAAGAGCCCAAGTTGACTTCACTTAGCGAAATATCAGAGCGCTTGGCCAAACAATATAAGGAAAAGTTTGGTGCTGATGTTGTTAAACTTATCATGGACTCATCGCCGGTAAGTAAAACATCATTGATTATTATAAACCTTTAAAATCAATATTTTGTCTTTTTAACAACAAAATTTATACAGTTTAAAAATGGAATAGTTTCATAAACTTAAAATTATTGAAGAAAAAGTCCAGCTCGTGTTACTTGAATAGATATTCACCGTATTGAACATCAGTTGGCTGGGATCCTTTAAATAGGCTTAAACGCTAAGGAGGGGAAACCCACAATAATTTGGTTAATCAGTATAATTCCAAACTTACCCGCTGCACCTCAGTTTGTCGCATAATGGACGTTGCTGTGCCGCGTGGCACAATTTTCTGTGCCCCCGATGATGTCTGTCTAGCCTTAACTGGCTTGCCTAAATTTCTGTTAAAAGCATTATATGTGGAGGTGTGTTGACTCAAACATAAAATCCGATAAGCGCACAAAAATCACAGAGAGTTGTTTGATAGTTAGCCTTAATTATATGCTGATCTTATAATTTAATAAGTGCAGTGGAGGGGAGGTGGAAGTTTCGACAGTTTATCTCAAAAAATCACTGCCTTATCTAAAAACTCTCGGCTTACAGTCAATTTTTGTGCGCTGTCGGTTTCTGAGAACTTACACGTAGTTGGCCGGGGATGTTGTGGCGGTAGACATGGGTTTATTTCCAGTTACGTACCGCGTCTCCCCTCTGTACGAGCTCCGCATTGAACGATTGCTTGCATTAGAGCTAGTGTTGGATGGCAATTGATAGCCGCCGCTCAAAGCCGCTCGGGGCACTGCAACCCGTTGATAGGATTTCGGGCGTGCTCCGGCCATATGAAGTGGCAAACCTGCACCGCTACCGCGATGACGAGGCGTAGCCAAACCCTGAGTCCTAGCTTCCTTTTGGACGTTACTCTTGCGTGCTCCAACCCCGCCTCCCGTTTGCCTGGGAGTCCTTTGCTTGGGAATTTTGGCATTCGTCGCCTTGCAAGCCCCAAAACCTGTCGTCGTTTTGGATATAGCAGGTGTTGGGTGCGGCACACCTAGTCGACGTCGTGTCTTCGGCTGCGGCTTGTCGGATTCGCTGAGTTGGTTGACATGCAACTGCGCTCCATCGTCGGCCTTGAAGCAAAAGACCTTGCTGTTCGCATACTCCGATGTGGTTGTGCAGCTGGAGCAGCTGGGTAAGGGGTCTTCACTTTCACTATCAAGCTGTGAATTCTCCTGCATTGGCTCGTCCTCAATATCACATATGGATTGCTCTTCGCAGGTAGAGTGATCACCATATGTGGACTCATCGTGCGAATCATCGTCGGCAGTATAGGGATCCACATCTGTTTCGACATGCGTCTGGTTTATGTCATCGCGTACACCACACTCGGTGGGATCTTTTTCATAATTAATCTTACATTGGCTGGTGCGAGGTATGCCAAGTTTATCGCATAGTTCCTTAAACGCATTGTGTCCCAAAATATCCGTATACCGCGAACCCACGTTGAGGGCAAAGAACTTTTCGAACGCCTTTATGCCCTCAATCTGACGTTCTATCTCATCCTCTGTGTAGTTACGTTTTGTGTACTTTGCGTTGATTAGGTCCTGATTCCACTTAATGCGGTCATTGATTATGTCGCTCATGCGTCGTAGGAACTGAGCTACGAGAACATTACAGGGTTTGCTGGCAATCGCGCCCATGTTACCAAAATCAAGATGCAAGGAGGCTTCTTCACAAGCCAGAGCATCAATCTGTCGATTAATATTGGGGTCGTGACCTGTGAACTGAACGTTCAGGCTACGCTCATCTGGCGCGAGGGTCACAGTAATACCTGTTAGGGGCTGGCCCTTTCCGCCCAGCTGACTCAACATCTCTAGCACCTCCTTCTGTAAATTGTAGATCATGTCCCGATGGCGCTGCACATCTCCAATCGGTTCATCGAACTGCAAAAGAGTGGTAGTTGAAGTGGCCTCTGTTTTCATTTCGTGGGTGAGTGGATCAATGCCAGGCTGTTGAGGCTCAGGGGTCTCCACGATGATCTGTTCACAGTTGACATTAGCATCACCCTTTCCATTGGCCCTCAAATGTACGTCTATTTTACAATCATCACTCTTACACGGCACTGATTTTCTGTACGAAGGAACAAACTCGACAGCATTGGGATTGAGTTGGGTTCGAAGCGGCAAATGGTTCTCCTTAGGCTGTGGATTATTTATGGCGTTGATGAGTTCATGGTAAAGCAGTTCGTCCATTGTCTGCTCCATTGTATTTGGATGGTTCGATGTGTTTGGGCATTCAGTTTGAGTATTGCATGAAAATTGACGTTTAGTGTTCACCGAAAATATACTTTAACGGAATTTGGAACTATGGCCCTATGGGGTGGAAAACGGATGTGAGGGCAACAAATAATTTATTTGTTGTGCTTCTGGTGTAGGTTTCTTATTGACTAGAATAATATTTAAGTCAATTCTAGTGTGTGATTAGTGACGACTTATAAATCGGCAGCTGCTTTGTCATACATTTTTGTTGCTATAAACATCTTACTCTGGTTCAAGAGCAGTTCATATAAAAGTGAACTGCTTGAATGATCGAGCACTGCTTGTTAGACTTCAGTGAACTGTTATATAAAGCGGTTCGTGTAGAAAATATAATAATTTTGTAGCACAGAAACTGATGAAATAGATTTTAGATTTCCTATAGATCAGTAGTAGTTAATTCAGATTCCTTACAGATCAACATTTATAAGTATAATGAAGTTAGAAAATGAATTATACATAGAATTCTTTTCATCTTTATAGCTAAATATATTAACAATGGAGCTGTCTATGTTATTTTATATTCTTGACCAATATTCATTCCCTTGCAGGTAAAAGTGGACGATCTGGATCCAAAGCTGGCGTATATTCAGGTCACCCATGTGATACCGTTCTTCACCAAAGAGGAGCTCGACCAGCGTCTGAATGAGTTCGAGCAGAATCACGATGTGGACACGTTTGTGTACGAAACACCATTCACAAAATCGGGCGCAGCACGAGGCAGCGTGGAGGAGCAATGGAAGCGTAAAACAGTGATCAAAAGTAGGTACCACATACATAAGCTTTACATTTCAATCAACTAATCTGGCATTACTTTGATCGCAAACAGCACAATATTCATTTCCGTACGTGCTCAAACGCATACCTGTGAAATCGCGTGAAATTATCGAACTGAGTCCAATCGAGGTGGCCATTGATGAGATGCAAGCTAAGGTGTCGGAGCTGGAGGAAATCATACTGCCACCGGCGGATGTGAAGAAACTGCAGCTAAGATTACAGGGCAGCGTTGCGGTGACCGTAAATGCAGGTCCCTTGGCCTATGCGCATGCCTTTCTCGAGGCCAAGGTGGTTAACAATTTCTCTGTGGATCGTGTGGAGGACTTAAAGGATGTGTTTCGGTAGATGTTTGAAAGCAACTCTTTTGAATTGTTTAAAACTCACTTCCATCTTTCAGGGACTTTATTTGCGTCTGCCACAAGGCTTTGCGCGTAAACGAGCGGATGATCAGCGCAGATCAAAAGGAATACCATCTCGCGCTTAAGGAGAACTTTGAGAAGCTCTGCCAGGCGCTCAGTGAGTTACTTGACGACGAATCGTTCCAGCCGCTCGATGATAATGCTGACAGTGCACAACGCAACAGCATGGCTTTATTCAATGCTATCAGTGGCACCTCCCATAACTCAAGTACTGCATAAGCTTAAAACAAAAACAACACACACACACGCACAGCTACTAAAACAAATGTTTAAAGCGCGTTCTTTTGCATTTCCATATAACAACGTAAAATCTAGTTTGGTGTACCTTTTGTTTTTGAAGTTCTCTCGTTCTCGTTGTCGTTGTGGTTATTGTTTGGCAGGTAAAACCAATTTGTAGGCCCTGCCTTTGTTTGGGCGGTTTGTGTCCCCGCTAACCCCTAACTTCTATACGTGTTATACACACATGTATGTGCATGCGACTAACCAACCATAAATTCCGCAAAAACCAAAAAAAAAAACAAGCAAATGGGCGCTGGGACTAACACTAAACCTCAACCGTAAGCAGAAATTAACTTTAAGCTATATATGTGTATATTCCCACTCGATCTGATTACTACTAATTCTGTGTGTTAACCTATGCTTAGGCTTATTTATATTAAATGCCAATACATTAATTATTGTTTTACCTTCTTGTTTTAGGTTTCGGTTTTGCCATCTATTAAGGTATACGCAAAACAACACACACATACATACGTACATACGCATCCTTGCATCATAGGTCCTAGATATACATACATATTTATACATAAATATATAGAACATACGTCCACTTCCATAACTGACACCCGTGCTAATACAAATACTACGATTCGAACGAACAAACAACAACAAATGCTACAATTGTTAATATTTATAATTTATAATACGAAATTAGTTCTAGTTTGCGCGTTTCATTTTAATTGTTATTAGATTTTTATGTTAATACATTGCTTCTTGACATTGTGGCTGGCACAAATATCGGACAAGAATTTGATTTTGTTTATAGATGTTTAAGTTTCTTTTCATTGCATTTCACACACGAAACACTGAAATATACTTACATATATAGTACATATGTATATTGAATATTGAAAGAGCTCCTTTATTAGATCAAATCTGCTAACTTTGTGTCTTCTCGAAAACTGGCTAATGAAATTGTTTAATAATTTAATTATTATAGTCGTAATACTTACCTTTAGCCATAAGTTCCTTTACAACAGAAGTTACCAAAGTATTCTATAATACAAGTATATCAATGTACGAGCCACTCTAACTAATGCCTACACATATATATATATACAGATATACATATAAATATATATTTACATGCATTTTCTAGTGAAATTAATTATGAAACATGATAAACCCCTAAACAAATATATACGAGCAATAAATGTTTTAAATACAAAATATGAAAGAACCCTTTTTGTAAGCACCTGAGCTGCTGGAAGTTTTTCCAATCTCCAATCTCGAAATGCTTAAGCAGCTTTGATAATTGCAAAAATATCTTGATTGTGTTTTATTTATAGAATAAATTGTGAACCACTATTATTAATGTGAACTACATGTAAACGTAAGTGTTGGTTAATAAATAATTATTACGTTAATTTTCCCTGTTTGCATATTTATTTATTTTATTTTTTTCACATATTTTTAAACTTTACAGCTTTAACAAACAGTTGTAATCGTAATCTTAAATATTATAAAAGAGTATTATTTATTAATTTACGTGTACTTTATTTGTATATATTTATTTGTTTTTTACTCTTAATAAATTTGGCAATTTCTTATTTTCGTAACATTTTATTATTTGGTTAACACCATTTGTATTTGTATTATTTGTAGCGTTAATGTCTTCGATAACAAGTAGTTTGTTTTACTTATTTTTTTCATTTCACGGTGCTCCGATGCGGGTTGGGTCGAAGGCAGGTCTGAGGGCAGGCGATCAGAAGGGTAGGAGAGGTATATCCGGGAGCTCAGTTAGCTGTGGTGAAGGCTAAGGATATACCTTCTCTTCCCAGAGCCCGAACATCGATTCCAGTAACCCCATCGGAACCTGCCGACATTTTGGCGCTTCTGCAGCTTTCCAATTCCAATAGTAACACCCACGGTTGGAAGGTTGTGAGGACAGCTGAACGTGTTCAATCCTGTGTGCAACCTGGCCGAAAATATCGATGCCATTCAACAACCCAGAGAGGATGAGGTGGTCGTCAAGACAGAGGAACTGCGCGACGACTCCTGGACCGATCGTTATTACAGATAAATACTGGATCGGCTTTAAGCTGACCAGTAGCTTCTCAGCGTCACCAGCTGGGAGGCCGACTAGGCGCTCCCGAAGGATAGCGAGAGGACTTAAAATGAAAACTGAATCAGAGTAAAGCAGCAACCAACGCCTTAATGGTTTGCCTGAAAAGATCCCCGGACTAAAGGCAATCTAAGCCTTGGTTCACCAAAGCTCAACGTTTTTATTTATACCAAGGGTAAGAGAAACCACGAAAAAAACAACGAAGCGCTATTTTACTTCTCCAGTGCCGTGTGCTCGAAAAAAAAAAGATAGAGAGGAGGGCAGCATTCATGGAGAGTCCTGAAGACAGAAGGTAGGGCTGTCCGGCTACTATTAAGAAATTCAACCCTAAAAAGAGGAACTGGGGGCACTACTTACAACAGCTAACCTGAAACCTCTCCCGGTACCAATTTTAATGGAGAAACTGAATAGCTCAGCGATAAAATTGACAAAAAAAAATTTATGTATATAATAGATTTTGTTGAATTTTTCTTTATTAACAATTTGTTTAAAATTATTTAACAATTTTGTTTCATCTACAAAAAATGACACTTGCTATTATAGAAAATGTATTAAATTTTTATTTAAGCATTATTTTCGCGACGAAATTGTAAATTTGTTTGACAAAACTTTTGCATGGAAAACATAAAAAAATTAACAAGAAAATTCCATCAATCAGCAATCAATCAATGCCCTGTTTAATGCTACATAAATATTTTTGTTTTGTGTGTGTTGGTTTGTTTGTTTGTTTAAATTTAATTAGAATTAGAAGCCACCATCTTACAGACGCGCATTGGGATTTCGTGAGCGCACAAAGTTCAGCAGCTCATCCGAATCCTCGCAGACGAAGGGCTTGATGTGGTGGCAGGCCACATCGTGCCACTTAATGCCATCGTTATAGAAATTGTTCAGTATGGACAGGCAGGACTCATCGTTGCCCTGGGCAGCCTCACGATTGTCGGGCTGTGGCTGATTGTAGCCGCCCGTTGCAGACCAATCGCCGGTGTTGCGCTGCGAGGTGGGTCCAATTTTGGCGCCAGATCCCGACCAGAACCAGCCGTTCTCATTGGGCGGCTGCAGATCGGGACGATCGCAGCCAGCGAAGTTGCACTTGCGACCCGATGTCCAGATATAGCGCACATTTCCACGTGCAATCCGCTGCTTCACGAAGTCGTTTTCCTGCGGCGTCTCCAGGGACACGGCGTCCATGCAATGGCGTCTGCAAATGTTGCGGGCATCCAACCAATCCACCTCCAGACTGCGTGTCGGCGCATGCTCCCAACTAAAGAAGTAGGAATGGGCCACACCACGTGCGTCCCGATAGGTGGCATGACGCACCCGATTCGCACAACTGCGAGGATCGGGCAGTGCCAGACGACGTTGTGCCAACGCCAGGGTGGCGCTAATCGCCAGCAGCAGGAGTGTGCGCAGCACAGACATGGTCACCACTTCTATATTCGAGAGAGTCGTGCGCTGAAAAGATCGGTGAAGCCGTAAATGAAATAAATATTTCGATCTAATGGTAATCATATAGTACGTTTATCTTAAATAAATTATTCAGGAAGCAAGTCTGAAGATTTCACTGCGTTTAACCAAATAAAATACATGAGTTGAGCAATTGTTGGCAGCTTTAATTGGAAGGAAGTTGTATATAAATCATATAAAGTAGAGCGTTGTAAAGTTGATTGATCTATAAAATATTTGGATGTGTTTTTAGTTAACAAGAATTTGAACTCAATCAATCATTATCTGAATACTTCAAGCATTTGTCAAAGATCTCCTAACCAGAGGGATTTGTGGTTCAATGGAATAAGACACATTACGACACGAACTGAAGACTGAAGAATAATTTCTAGAAATATTTTACAATTCAATTCCAAAATTAAACAATTTTTTAGTCAGACATCTTGCCTTTTATCCAAAGCAGATCTCTTATTTCACAAATGCTGCTCCTTTTGATGAATTTTCAACTGTAGTTGATCAAATTAAGTTTTTAAAATTCTCATTTAACAAAGAAATAAGTGACATTACTTAGCCCTAGAAGAATATTCTGCAAATCCACTGAAGAAGCAGGAAATAGGCAAAGTTGTTCTTCACTGCATGAATATAGTGATATTAGAAACGAAAGTATTTACTTAGAATTGCAACAAATTTGCTGATGAAGATAAAATTCTTTTTGAAAAATTATGCAAGGTATATTTGTTTATAATAAGAATGTATATATATGAGAATATGCTGCAAATCCATTGAAGAAGCAGGGAACAGACAAATTTGTTCTTCACTGCAAGACTATAGTCGTATTAGAAACGAAAGTATTTACTTAGAATTCCAAAAGATTTGCTGACGAAGATAACATTCTTTTTGAAAAGTTATTCAAGTTATATTTATATACTATATAATAATCTTTCAGAAGATAATTTCTCAACAACGTTTTTTAAATGAGAACATTTTGAAATGTTTTCAGGAATTTACTTTTAAGGAATTATTATTAAAATAGCGATTATAATGATAGTTGTCGTTAAAAACATATTTGTTTGGACCGTTTTTTATTATTTTAATATCCCTTTGATGGAAACTCACGCACTTAGGGATTCGTACAACCTTTTAAAAAATGTCTGCTGTGCTTGCGCTGCGCTCCGAATTCAAATGGAAACTGTTACAAATATCGAACACAGCTTGATCAGCAGTATTATGGGTCTGTCTATGACTAAATCGAACAAACGCACACCCAATTTCCGCTTGAGTGCATCGACTCATCTTTTTATGCAAAATCAGTGATTGGAAATATGTATGTATACAAGTATATACCTGATCGGGCGATTCGAATTTGAGCGATTTTGATTTTGACTGTGTTGCCAATTCTTTATGTGGAATGTGTGTGCATGGAATTTGTCGCATTCAATTGGCATTTTGTGGCAATTGTGCGAGGCCTTTAGTCTCTGAGCCTAATTGAGTAGTTCGATGAAGGCCTTTTCGGCCCTGTTTCGTAAGCGTAATTGGTAACGTGAGAATGCCTCCAGAGCTGCCTGGCAACAGCGGACAACTTAACAATAAGACGGGCAATTTTCATTTTTTTTCTCCCTCTCTCTCTATAAACTATGCAAATGGCTTTATTGTTTCATGTCTATATCTGTTAGTTATCGACGAGCATGAAAATTGTATGCAAATTTTATGGTCTATAGCTTAATGTACTTGTAATCTATTGAATTATGCTTCGGCTCTCGGACTTGTGCTATTAAAATTACTTGCTTCGGCTAATATAAACGATCAAGTCCGGCTAACAACATTGTTGGCGTATCTTTTTTTATTACTTTTTGAAGAGAAGCTGGGATTTTAAACAGCATTTGTAAATGTAAGTAGAGATCTAGCGATAAAAGTCATTATCGGCACTTTATAGTTTCCACTAGCAGTAATTAGTTGTTTTAAATAAAATTATTTTAATCAATTTTTTTGTAAACAGATTTGCTTTGATATCTACATATAGATTCAGTCTTAAAATGTGTTAAAGCCAATTAAAAGATATTATAATAGTTAATATATAAGATAGACAGCAACGAAATGCAAATTCCCATTTCTACACAGTCTTTTTTAATTGTTTTTACCCTTTTCTTTCTTTTTGAAATTTGCAACTCTTATTTGGCAATTACATCTAGTTAGTGCTTAAAACACACGCAATATTGATGTAAAAGTGTACTCTTTAGTGTGTAGTGTGATGTATTTCTTATTTTATTTAATTCATTTAATTTTAAAAATCTTAAAAGTAATTGTTAATTTTTTTTGGTAGCAAAGTTTTTAGCAAAGTTTTTCCTTCAATTTTTTAACATTAATTGCAGATAATAATAATTAGAACTCTGGATCATGAACGTCTCTTCAATGCCGTGTAATCAGCTACTGAGCAAGCATTACAAAACACTTGGTCTTATTAAATATTTCAATTAAAATAATTTGTGCATACTACTAACTATTTAGTATGTATTGCAATTCAAATCACAGTGAACTGCTTACACTGCTTTTTTAACCCACACGCTACCCAAACTTTTACAATTCGAACTGCTTGTGCACAAGAAACAGGAAAGTGAAGCAATTTTTAGATCTGCATGTTTTTTAAACAAACCATTATCAACCAAAAAATATAAGAAATTAACAAAAAGAACAGAAATTTTGAAAGAAAAACTTAAAGTATATTTAAGTTTTAAAATGTTTGAACCATTACTTAGAACGAAATTAATACTGCTACGGAAACGACTGCTCTTTACTGCGTTCTCATGCGAATCTAAGGCTCTTTACAGCTCTGTTTGCCTGACTCTAGTCAAATTTTTCAGTTTGAAAAAGGGCAAAGTATTAATATATATTCGCTTGCTATGTATTATCAGAGCTATTTATAAATGTAGGTGCTAATTAGCTGCATTTTTCTAATTCTTAGTATAAAGCATACTGTGCAATAATTTATATGTAAAACATTTAATAGCCAATTAATATAATTTTATTTAAAGAAAAACCATTGACTCTGACAAACACTTAATTGATGTACAAACTCTATACTAAATACAGTATTAAATCTATAGTATATTGATTGTGAGCAATTAAAATATAAATGGCTGAGCTCCCCATAAAAAAATTTGTTTTCACTTTTTGAAACAAAAATATACATATAATTTGTAAAACAATTTACCTTTCTACTCAAACGAAATCAGTCGACTCTAACCAAAAGTTAATTGACAAACAAACAACATAACTGTAAACAAACATAGATAGAGCAACACACACGTACAGTTGCATTGCCACAACGCTCGGACTAGCCCACATAAACTCTTGACCTTTACCCAATTTTCATCGCCATGGATATGGAGGTGGAGGTGGAGGTGGCGGAGACCCGCACTGACCTTACACAATAAAACAAAAAATCCAAGCATCCACTACAGAGCACCAGCACAGCAAGTGTAAGCACTTACAACCGATTATATACATACGAGTACATATGTATGTACATACATATACTTGTATGTATAAATTTCTACCTTTTACCGCATGCCACGAGACTTTTGTGCCTTTCTGCGCTTGGCATGCCAAACAAATTCGGCGTTAATGGAGAAAGTTGTACATACGCGCATACATACGTTGTTGAGTTTGGCAGTGACGGATATATACATATATACCTACAAATGCACATAGTATATATACATATATTGCATTACGCATACGGCATGTAGCGCTACCTGAATTGTCTGTCAGTCTGTCCGGCTATCTACCGACTGATAAAATGTAAATAAACAAAAAACCAAAACAAAAGCAAAAACCTTAAATGCTTTACCTTTGTTTTAACCACACGTCGTAATGAGCCACTAGTGTGTGTGTGTGTGTGTGTGTGGGAGTATATATGTATATATATATGTGCATGTGTGTGTGTGTTGTGTGCGTGCTTCTATTCACGGCTTGTAAGTTTTGTAATTTGAATTTCCGTTACAGTATTTGCCATTGCATGTCTTAACATAATGCGCCGCTTCATTTGCGCTTCCTACAACTTATATTTTTTTATTTTTATTTTTTTGACTAATTGTCGTGGGTAAGCCAACTATATACGAGTATATGCATATATAGTTGGCCGAGCCAACTGAAGCAACAAACTGTCAGTCTGCAAATTGTGGGCAACGACCAGACCGGACGAGCCTTTAAACTGGCACGGTTTTCTGACAATTCGTTTTCGAATATATATACTATATACTACTAGTTATGCAATAGCTTGTTAACGCATTTCAGTTTGATTGATCTGTCGATTGTGCGTGCAATTAACGCTTCCCAGACACTGGTGTGAATATTTTCGGGGCAGGTGGGTGCGTAAATAATTGGAAATTCAATTCATGGCATTTGTTGCGGTTTCCATAACGATGACTGTTCCGAATGATTTATGCATGCACATACGATGGCAATTTATTTTTATTAGATTGTCATTTCAAAGTGGTTTGGAAATAATAATCATTCCAAATTTGCAGAACAACTAAATCAATCAATTTCTATTAGATAAGTCAAATAACTCAAATAGTTTTCTGTTACTTTCAAATTTCTTACAAATGTAAACATAGTGGTTTTAGAAATTGATGAATTTGATTTCTATAAAATTATTATATATGTTTATATAATTTCTAACAACTTGAGTGTTTTTTCTGTGATTGGCATTTTGGAATTTGTCTTGAAGGCTTTAAGAAATTTAACAACAATTTAAGCTTTTACAAACATTAACAACCAAACAAAGCTGTAAATGTGTGCTACTTTTTATAAGTATTTAAGTAACAATTTATGTTTATTTTCAAATGAGGCGAACTCCTTTTTTCTGGGCAAGAAGCAAACAAAATTCAACAGCAACTTAAAAAACAATCATAGCCTGAACCTACTTTTTATAAGTATTTAAGTAAAAGTAATTTATATTTATTTTCCAATGAGGC